ATTTCTCCAGTTTCTATTCATTTTTGTGAGTCCTTTTAAGGAAGCCAGTTGTAAGTCTGACAGTAAAAATTTAATCCACAGACCTTGTAAACAGCCAGATGACACACATTTTATAAAACCTTAGGTTTATTATGTGACCCTGTGGGACAGTAATATACTTTTATATAGACTTCAATAATGAAATTTTTTTTAAAGAATAGTTCTAACACATGTATCTCTGGAATATTTTTTCCAGTTTTATTTTTTCTCTACTTATTTCCCCTGAATTTGTCATAGTTTTCTTGTTTTGCACATGACTGAAAGAAGAAATGTCATTTCAAGTAATATTGCTAACTGTGGAGCTGTATATATTACTGATAGTCAAAGTTATTTTTAATTGTGAATGGGCCTGATGAAAATGCTAATCTGCTGTCATGAAATTAGTATTTGGTTTGGTTGGCTAGAAATGTGATAATTTGTTAACTATTGTATAAAAATTACGTTGTAAACTTTCTGAAGCATTCTTGAGACATTTTACTAGGTGTTACAGGTAGTGCGACACATTTTCTTATGCATTTTCTACATCTGCAACAATAATCAGACATGGTGCATAAAATGATGTATTTCATAGTGCCAGTTCGTGGACTAGTTCATTTGTTACATCAGCAGATATTGGTGTCTCAGCGCTTGGCATTTAAAAGGAGGGTGTTCTGGAGCTCAAGGATAATGTGATGAATAAGTCAGTGGAAAGTTTGGAACCCTGTAGAGATGAAAAATTGAAGGATAAGACACCCTTTAAGAGGGTTAATTTTATTTGGTATTTGTAAAATATATCTTGGAGACAGAAGTCCTCTCTCCACAACTTGCAGGTATTTCACTACCACCTTACTTAAGTGAGATTGAATGCTGAGACTTTCACAAGTCATGCCATCACAACCCCGTGGTGTTGGGTGTTGGAACCTTTTTGACAAAGTATTTATTCACCTCGCTATGTACTAACAGCTTACTGCTTGAAACGTGCTACTGACTTCAGGTCAGTATCTAGAAGTTGTGGCTTTGGTTGGGTTAGCATAGGTCTAAGGCATTATGCTGTCCCAAGTTCTTTAATCATCAAGCCACTAAATCATATTCACAAGTTGTTTTGTCCTGTATTTGGAAAAAGAGAAAGAATGGGTTAGGGTGGAATATATTTTTGGAAGATTAAAGCAACCCTGTGTTCCAATTTGGATGCTCTAAAAATGAAAGAGTTTCTTTCTTTTTATAATGATATTATCTACTAATTGTAGAAAATTAAAACATCGAAGAAAGTTCTAGAGAACAAAGCAAAAACTCTGTCAAATACCACTGTCCACTTTACTGCGAAAACCCTCCTCAGTGTTTTGTAGAACATCTTCCTAGACCCTGTTCTATGTGAGTATGAATGTGCCATAAATGGTATTCTACTATATAATGCTTTGCATTCGGCCTTTGACACTCAAAATATGTTATGGAGACTATTCCATATCAAAGAAAAAATATATTTAATAGTCACTAGAATTTAGTTAACTAGGTTTATAACTGTCAATGGGAATTAAAAAAAAATTCTTTACTTTTTAAAAAAAAATGTGCAAGGGAATTCCCTGGCAGTCCAGTGGTTAGGACTCCATGCTCTCGCTGCCAAGGGCATGGTTCAGTCCCTGGTCGGGGAACTAAGATCCCACATGCCATGCAGCGCTGCCAAAAAAAAAAAAAAAAAAGTGCAAAAGTTTGTCCGATATATTTCTATAAAAGGAATTGGTTAGTCAAGAGGTCTATGCACAGTTATCATTTTGGTAAATAGAGCCACACTGCCCCTCAGAAAATTTACATTCCCAATTACCAGATGTGAGATTGCATGTTCTTACCCTTCAGACAACACAGAATGATATCTATTTTCTTCACTTCTGCCAGTCTGATAGACCATAGATAGTATTTTGTTTTAAATTTTTCATTCTTTAATTGCATTCATGACTTGAAGTATTAATACTGTACGTAATCTGACATCCCCAAGTTTTATAGCCAGTAATCCAGACTTGAAATATTCAACTGCCTGTTGACATCTCTTAATAGTCATCTGAACTTGTCCAAAATCGAACCCCTTATCTTTTACCCAAACTTGTTTCTTGCTTGCTCTTTCATATATTAGTTAATGGCTAATCCATCCTACCGTTACTCAGGTCACAATTTTGGAGGCATGCTTGCTTCCTTCTTTCTGTGTCTTATGCTTCATATCCAGGCCTCTCTGCAAAACCTGTTCACTTTCATAATAGATCCAGAAGCCTCTGACTTTCCTTCACATTAGTGGCTCCCACCCTGGTATAGGTCTTAATCATCTCTTGCTTGGTTTATTGCTATTACTTCTCTAGTTTCTCTGCTTTCCCTTGTCTCCCTGTATCCTGTTCTCAACACAGCCACCTTAGCATCCTGTTAAATGCCAAGTGAATCATGCCTCTTATCTGCTTAAAACCCATTAGGGAGATTTTATATTTCTCTCAGTAAAAGACAAAATTCCTGCAATGGCCAACCAAGCCCTACATGATTTGCTTCTCCCATTTCTCCACCTTCTCCCATTTCTGTGCCGCTTCCACTTAGTTCCTATCACACTGGCCTCCGTGGAGTTTCCTGCCTAGATCACCCAGAGGGAAACCTGCCCCTGTTGCCCCAGTGCAATTAGATCTTCTCTCAACTGTCACCTTCTCAGCCAGAATTTCCTTGACCACCTGTTTAAAATTGCTACCCGGGCTTCCCTGGTGGCGCAGTGGTTGAGAGTCTGCCTGCCGATGCAGGGGACATGGGTTCGTGCCCCGGTCTGGAAAGATCCCACATGCCGCGGAGCGGCTGGGCCCGTGAGCCATGGCCGCTGAGCCTGTGCATCCGGAGCCTGTGCTCCGCAACGGGAGAGGCCACAACAGTGAGAGGCCCACGTACCGCAAAAAAAAATAAATAAATAAAAAATAAAATTGCTACCCCATTCTCTGAAACATTTGCTGTCCTCTTTCCCTGCTTTATTTTTCTCTGTAGCATATATCTGATATTTTATCATTTGTTGATTGTTCCTCTCTCTCTGCTAGAGTAAGAGCTCCACAATAGCAGAGACATTTGCCTTTTTTTTCCCCACAACTATATCCCCAGAATATAAAATAGGACTGGCATGTAGCGGCATGAAGTGCATATCATAGACTTGGCGCAAAATAAATAATCAATGAAATTTTAAGAGTGCTATTTGGAGGAGAGTCCTTTTGCCCTTTTCGGGGAATTTTTATATTATTAATTTGCTATAACTCTTTATATTAGTAATTTTAAACTTTTGGTTTATGTTGCAAATATTTTCTGTGTCACCGAATATTTTTGCCTTGCAGTTTTAAATTTAATTCTCTCATCTTAGTACCCGGTTTTCTGCCATGCCTAGAAAGCCTTTTTCTACTCAAAAATTATTTAAATATTTACTCATATTTTCTTGTATATTTAGTGTCTTATTCTTCACATTTAAAAAAATATAGCTGAATTGAAATGGGATTTATCTCTTGTAATGGGTGGGGAATAGACACAGCTTAATTTTTCCTGAGTATCTATACAGTTGCCTCACAGCCATTTACTAAACAGTCCACTGTTCTTATACCAATTTGAAATGCCATATTTTCCTATACTAAATGTTCATATATCTTTGGTAATGAAGAAACCTACTCTTTGTTCCATTCTACTGATATGTTTATTCCCACCTATCATTTTAATATCTCTAACTAAATAGCACATTTGAATATCTGTAGTTTATCCTGAGTTTTAAATATTTGTTCCTCCCATCCTTTATCTATATTTTTCACAGTTGAAAACAGTCATGATAATCCCTTTCTCACTAACATTATGTTAATAGGTAATATTTATATCTTTAATATTATAGTGTCCATTAGACAAAGAAAATGTATAAATCTGTATGCTGTGAATAAAGTGACTTTTCTTTAAATAATTCCCTTTATTTTTATACCACAGTTATCATAACATAACCCATCAATTATATGATTTGCTTTATTTTAATAAGAGAACATAGTTCAGTTTTTTACATATTAGCATTTATGAGCATTGTTATCTCGCCATCCGTGGTAGAATAGAATTTTACTTACTGATTTGTGCCAAATGGGTTAATACTGATGTGTAATGGAAAACAGGTGAAGTGAGTAAGCTGTTTTTACTGTTGTTTTTTGTTTTTGATTTTTAGATATAGCAGGTGGATTTCTGTTGTTTCTTGTTTACACATAGATTTTTGTCTGTCATGGATTAATAGTGCTTCCTACATCTATGCTGCTTGACATTGGGCAAGTTACTGAAACTTTTTAGCCTTAGTTTTCTCATCTATAAAATGGAGACACTAATGGTATTTTATTTATCAAATTGCTATTAGAATTAAGTGAAATAATTCATGTGAAGTGTTTAGCATAGCATTTGATACAAAATAAATACTTAATGATACCTGGTGTTAATTATAACATGAGTAAATGTTCTAGTTTAATTTAGGGGAAAAGCAGCACTTTGGACTGAAAATTATTTGAAGTTAGTCAGTGAAGTTGAGGGAAAAGGGTGGAAACAGCCTGTCTTATTATATAGTTCCCTTTGTCTGTGTTGAAAATGTTGTACCAGCATAAAGTCTCTCCATTGATAAAGGAGGTTTAGTCTTTAGATGAATTACGTATCATTTCACTCTGCAAAGTAGATTCTGAGAAATCTCAATGTGTATTGAGATTAGCATTTGAGATTATAGGAGCAGTTTCCTTTACTGTTTATCAAGTTTATAATTAATTAATGTGAGAAGTTAAAAATACAGTCCTTTTTTTCCCACGAACACAGCCTATTTGTGTTCCCAATTTTACGGGGGAAGGATGTCACCAGAAGGAACAGGATATTGTCCACCTTCCCGTCTTTCCTGGTTGCCATCATGAATCCAGGCTCCAATTATTGTAATGACTAGTTGATTCTAGAGAGTCCTGACTCACTGTTTCTTTCATCTGCAGACCCACTCTGAAGAGAGGCCTTTCCAGTGTGAGGAATGTAAAGCTTTGTTCCGGACCCCATTTTCTTTGCAGAGACACCTGCTTATACATAACAGTAAGTGACAATCCAGGCAGTTGAGGACCAAAGGAATTATATCATATTTTGTTCTTATAACCTTTGAGAATGTAGGCATCACAGAAGCGGACCTATAAGTAGTTATGTAATCTGCTTTTAAACTTAAAAAGGACCGATAGCTGCCTTTCCCCTTTTTGTCCTTTATCCTTGATTTATTTTCCCACAGTAAGATTAATCATTTTATGAGACATTTTATTTTATATCATTTTTCCCACTATTAAAAGCTGTGTATAAAAACATGTTCAGTAAAATGTCTTTGAAATTTGTTCTGAAACAGACGTTTTTGTTCCCTTTTAAATGTAATGATTAAGGAAACATGCCTGACTCTTTAAAACATGCAGATATCTGGCATGATTTTATTAGCTCACAGGCTTTTAAAATTGGAAAGGATCAGAGTAAACATCTAATTTAACCTCTTCATTGGAGGGGAATTGAGAAAATTGAGACTCAGAGAAGGGTTGCACAGCACTGGGGGTAGCATCCAAGCCTGTTAGTCCTGTGTTTTTCCTGCCTACTCCACTGCCTCTGATTTCTTACTTCTTTTGGCAAGGGAATTTTTGGTGGGGGTAGGGGGAATTAAGTTATTCACATATGTACCATGAAGTCTGTCTAGCAGTTACACTGAGAGTTGATTTTAGAATACCACAGTTTTTAGCCATGTCACTTTATTCAGAGAAGAAATTGTTATTGCTAAACAGAGTTCTAAAGTGGGTTCTGTGTTCAGATTTTGAAGCAACCAGAGATTTACTACTTTACTGTATCTAATGTTAAATAAAAATGGTATAACATAAGTAATAACTTCCTTTTAATTTGACTTGTTTAATCAGTAGAACATCCTCTAACATGTAGTTTCTAATGCTTATTAAATTTTTAATATTTCTGAGGAAAGCAAAACAGTCTTGACATTTGATTGTACAGATCTTGGAAGAAATTTTCTCTGGTCAAGTCAAAGTATCTAAAATGCAAAATAATAAAGATACTAAAGTTTTTATATTTATTGAGTGGTAATGATTGTGATGAAATGCGTCTTTTCCTATAGGAAAGACAGTGCTGAGATCTCATGTCATTCTGTATTCACCTTACAGCTCTGGAGAAGTTGTTAGCACCATTTTCCATTTTCCTTATAAAGAAGAGCTATGCATTTAAGAAATAAAATATGTCATGTAACAGCAGGAATTTCCATCCCATTTCACTGTCATATTTGATAAAGAAAATGGCTAAAATAGAGAGGACAAAAGACTAGATCTTGTCTTATACAATAGGAAAGTTAAAACCCATTTAACTTCAAAACATGAGGATTGTTTTAGAAACTTACATCAGCACTGTGGCTCCAAATATGAAAAATAAGATGTCATAATTATTTTGGAAATTATTGTTATTTCCTAATACACTGAAAACCAAAAGGCAGGTTACTAGCTAGCTTCTTGGTTTTAAGATAGGGAAAAATCCTGATAAATTTAAGGTAAAGAAATCTGATAAAATCTCGTATCCGAATTTTAAAGTTCTGATAAACTTAAAACAAAAAAATCTGGAATTAAAATATGAAAGAAGAAAGGTATGGACTTCCTTGGTATAGCTTGAATAAGATTTTTGTACAGGAACCAATACTTTGATTCACTTAATAATTTAATGGAAATACTTTGATAGGAGCAATCGTGGAGTATTTTTTTCCAGTGCCTGAATAGATTTGGTATTATTAACATTTACAATTTTATGTCACTTGTCCTTTTACTCTCACTGGTTATACATTTTATACAAATATCAATAAAATTTTAAATAAATCTAGAAAGATATATGAAGACAAGCTAGGTGACAACAATAACACCCTACAACAAAAAAGCACAAAGGCAACATATAAACACAGCTCTCAGAATCTATACAGTTCATGCATGGTTTGGTATGACTTGGTTTCAAGTATCGAATTTCAGCAACTCAACAACTTCCTTAGAGACTTTAAGAGAATTTAAAGAGCCATACTTCTGTTTGAAAAGACAAAGGGAGGGTAATTTGCCTTTTCCTTTTTATTTTCGTTCTTCTTGTCATTCCTTCCTTAAATTTGGTGTGACGAACTAATAGGATCTTCACATTTCTAAATTTATGTTAGTTAAATGGAGGGAAGGTAGGAGAGCTTGGTTGAAATTGAGGTAATCTCTTCTTTAGATGTAGACAGTTACCTGCATATTTTGTCTCACAGTGAATATAATTTTTGAATCTGTGCTATTATAATTGTTCTCTAAAAGGGAAAATATATGCAAATACTAGTCTGTCGTTATACACGCTACATATGTTTTATATCTTTCTGGGAGATTCACTATCTTCTAATTGTGTACATTGATCACTTAAAATGTATTTAAAATGGACTTTAGACATAGCATGGTATGAAAGTTTAAAAAGTCCCATAAACTCCCTAAACATAGCTTCTGGAGTTGCTTTCCTGCAAGCCGAGGCTATTTGATGGGAAGGTGAAAACCCTCCCAGGTACCCTCTCCGGGACGCATTCGGAAGACGCTGTGTCCCACCACGGGTCCCCTGCCCAGGAAAGAAAAGGGGCCTGAGGGCACTGCCAGGGGCCAGGTGGTGGAGGCCCCCCGCTGGACTCTAGGGTAGAGCCCTAGACCCCAGCCCTAGAGCTGGGGGGCCCTTTGAGGGGCTCTAGGGTAGAAAAGGGGAGTTGCCACTCTGGGTCCCCCTGCCCCAATCCAGCTGCCTCTTTGAGAGGCAGCCCCCAAACAGTCTGAGAGCCTGGAAGTTGAAGCCCTTCCCTAGCCATTTCACAGCAGACCAAGGACTGCATTAGGGGGCCTCCAGGCCAGGTTCCTGAGATAGTGGAGTTGTAGCCCTCTCCTGTCCCGGGGTGAAGGATCTGCTCTGACGTCCGCCTTCAGGGGCTTCCCTCCAGTTTACTGCCTGGGAGCCAGTTCTGCCTCTGCCCCTGAAGGCCAGAGGGAGAATGGTGGGGTGAGGGGAGTTCAGGAGGGGCCCCAAAGGCACCTCACTCTGCAGAACAGAGACCTTTTGTCAAACTCAAGCCCCTGCCTTAGAAATACATACTTTTAAAGAAAATTCATAGGACCTTTAGAAAATTAGTAAATTCAGTCCCCACATTTTCCAGTTAAAGGCACTGAGTATCTACGAAGGTTAAATGACTCTCCCTCCCCCCTACATGATTCACACAGGGAATGAGCAAATATTGAACTGAACAGTTGTTGGAAAAATCACCTTTTATGGTTATGATAAATTGTTAGAGCTGTAAAGCTGAGTTTTTGGAGAAAACAGCCGTAAATCTAGTACATGTGAGGGGGAGTTAACAGCACCCTGCTGTTGTGTCTGTGTTTCTCTTATTTGGCTTTTTCATTTCTAAGGTGAGAGGACTTTCAAGTGTCATCACTGTGATGCTACCTTTAAAAGGAAGGACACCTTAAATGTTCATGTCCAGGTGGTTCATGAAAGACACAAGAAGTACAGATGTGAACTGTGTAATAAGGCATTTGTTACACCTTCAGTGCTTAGAAGTCATAAGAAAGTAAGTAGAAGCCTTCCGTGAGTTTGAATGGATTACCTATTTTAACCATACAGGCGTTTATGTTAATTATCATGTGATAATCAATTTTATATGAATTTATCAACATATTTACTCAAAATGACAAATACGAAACCCATGAGTGATAGCAGCTCTTTAGCAAATGTCTGTTTTCTTCATTTTATCAGAAGAGAATATATTTGTCATATGAAAGCAAACCTAGATTCAGGTATGGATGCTTCACAGTCCTAAACTATGCTGATAGGTGGGTCTTACAGTGTACTCGATGAACGGGAGCTTTTTGACTTTATACATTTTTGGATTAACGTAGGTTCCTTTTTTCAAAGATACTGAGTAGAGCTTTAATAGTTTTATTTTTCAAAGCTAGTTCAGCTATCTATTGACAAGTTATTAGACTGACTTCTTCTAGGATTAGAGTGGTCCTTCTTTATCTTGCATCCCAAGGACCTAGGGAAATTCCTGGTACAGAACAGGGACTTGATAAGTATTTGCTCAACTTGAATAAAATGATGTTCATACTGATGGTGATTTGGAGATTATCTTATTTGTGTTATGCTAATTACCTCCAGCAAATCAACAGGTTATTTTTACTTGTTGATTAAATACATTTTAAGTATATTTTTTAAATAGCAAAATTCATATTATAACTAATGCAGTTGAAAGTTTTAATGTTGACTTCAGAAATGGCTGTGAAGTGCGGTAGCCTCTGCTGCTCGGCGTGTCCTGCCTAGTGGATGTGAAGTGGCTTCTGTGTCATTATGACTTTTATTTTGGTACCTGTCCTTAATACAGCTGTTTCAAAAGAACTGGACTGAGTAACTTTCTTTTCTTGTATCTTTAATGCTGATTAATAATGATACTGCCTTCTCTTTTCAAAGCTCTGAATAGAATAATCTTTCAACTTTCTTTGATTGGATTACTTTTTCATGAATTTAATAGATTTTATTACGTTTTAATCAATGAAGGAAAGTATAGTGAATTTTCAAGAAAGATATAGTTGTCTGCAATAACAGATTATCATAGAATATATTTTGTGGTGCATTGTTCATTTTTGTCTCATACATTTATCCAATATTGTTCTCATAGTGATGTTTCCATGCTTTCTAACCATATTTAAGATTTTGTAGTGTTATACTTTCAATATCTTACAATACCAGCCAGTCAAATTCTGTACCTAATAATAATATATATTTTTTACTTAAGCCAAAAAGAACACTTTAATTATTTTAATTAATATTGCCATAGTATCCTTTAGTTTGAAACTTACATTACTGAAGTACTATAGGTAACTGAATATAAGTAGGTGAACAGTGAAGTACTTATGTAGCAGCAAAAGAAATCCTGTGGATTTTATAAACATACTACAAAGAACTTGGTAGTTTCCTGTTTGGAATAATCCCATGTTGTAATAATAGATGTATACCATTCCCAAACAACGTTATATTAATCAGGAAAGAATTGCCATATTTTGTCCCTTCTGTCAGGGAGTGAGAAGAACACAGGTCTGTTATATGTTAAAATGTTATACCATTTCCTTTAAATTGAACCATAATGTGGACCATGGGAGTAACAGCTCTTACTGAGGTGTAAAGAATGTATAACTGTTTTGTATAAGAACTTGTAATGAAAATAGAAAGTTAAGTGCTGCCAATTGAAGAATCAAGGAGATGTTTGTTGTAAACAGTATCATTGGCTAGTGTGGCTGTTGATTAGACTGTATTCCTCAAACTTGAATGTAATATAAATCTTTTTCAAGGGAAAAACATCTAGAGGACACTGAAGTTGACTAAGATATTTCATTTATAACTCTTTTAAAAATTACAAATATGATAGTGTATATCCAAATATAGATTATAATTCAAATATGAAAATTTATAAATTAAATATCAACCAATAAGGTTATAAACCAATTATATTAAAGTTAACAATTGATTTAATATGGAAGATGAGAATGTTTTGCTAAGTTAGTGGTTCCTCGAGGTTGTCAGGTTCTGACATAATTACCCCACCCTTTTTTCTCTATCCCAGCTAGCCTGTCTTTCCTTTCTGGGAACACATCATTTTTAAAAAACCTTTTTAAAAAACCTTTTAAAAAACCTTTCCTGTTCTTTCTACATTAGCTCATGGCAATTCAAATAATAATATTTGCCAGTAATTTGCGTAAAAACAAAGGCAAGCACAGGCCCTGGAAGTTCTGTTTTGTGGCGGTGGTGGTAACCCAGATGATCCACTATATGCTTTTGTTCATAGTTAGGTTATCATTGAAGTTAACAATTCTAAAAAGGGTCTGAGAGAATGTGCAGGTATCTGAAGTAATTGCTTCCTTCTCCTTTTCCCTTCTCCTAAGTTTGAAAACCAATGGGACTTGAAAAGTAGCTCTGCCGCCTCATTTATTGGAATGACCTATTTTGATGTTGGTAGAAACACTGGCCGCCTGATGAGATTGTGAGACAAGTTTAAAACACCTCATCTGCCTCCTTTTTTGGGAGAGGTCACTCTTTTTTTCTTTGAACTCTCTTAACATTGTATTGAAACTGGCTTTGGTGATACTCATTCACCTTTTCTTGTGTGGTGGTTTTATGTCCAGGTTAAAGGTATTGAAGGCAGCAGTGATCTTTCAAATTGACTGTTCAGTTAACACCTGCTGAATTTAAAGATCAAATCAGATTTATATTCCTTTTTGCTTTGCAGTAAAATCAATCCAGTCTGACAAACATAATGCAAGTAACAGATTACTTTATTGAGATTAATTCTGTCCTCAAGCACTAAATACACACAAAGAATGTGAAAAATGCTTCTAAGGAAGTGTTTCTTGGCAGCAGTCAAGGGCAGCTGTAGCCCCATTTTGATTATGTGGTTTTGTTAACATATACTGGTTTTGTATAACTTAATCATTTTTAGATGGGGGCTCCGTAAAGGCTTAAAATGTAAACTGCAGAGTTATTTTCAAATTAACACTAACACGTGATTCTAAGAGGTTTTTTTGAACCAGTGGGAATAACCATGATAAATTGTTTAAAATCTCATTGTGATATTAAATCATTTTAAAGGAACATAATCCTGGGAAAAAAAGGATTTACTGTTGTCAGAGGCACTTAATCATTTTAACCTCGTTCTTTATATTTGTTCTCAACCTTTTTTATTCCTTTCCGTTTAGACACATACAGGAGAAAAGGAGAAAATCTGCCCATATTGTGGCCAGAAGTTTGCCAGCAGTGGTACACTGAGAGTTCATATCCGTAGCCACACAGGTATGTAGATAAAAACAACATAGAGAAATCAAATTCTTCCAAGAGAAGGAGTTTCTAATTTTACAAAATGACTCCAAGATTAAGAATAAATCTTGACTGTTTCCTCTCTTGTAAAGTTTTATAGCATCTAGTTTCTTACTCTAGAAAAATTTTGAATAAGTACACTTCCCCAAACTAAGTTAAATATCTAAAGTGGAAACTGATTGTTTGGTTGTGAAATAACTGTGATTTACTTTATATACTATTCTAATAGATGGAATAGGGTGTAGCAGTTTTACAGAAGGCTAAGGGCCTCCTCTTAAAAATCCCTCCTGTAAGTCGCATCAAATGTGGCCTTTTAAAACGTAAAAAGTCCTTGGAATGTGGCTTGAATGCTATAAGATTTTATTGGATGCAAGGGTGATGTGACCATAGTATCTGTTATGCCATGAATTGCTTCCTAAAGGGTTTTCTTCATTTCTTACAACTTCCTGTGTAATTTCTCCCATGAGGGAGGGCTGTGCCCTAGTGAATGAACAGCTAAATATTCTTCAAAGAACTTTGTTTGGGTTTTATCTGTCATGTAGAGAAGTTCTTGAAAAGACTTGAAAGAATACTCTTAATTTTGATAGCCAGATTATTGTGTGTGAATCTTAAGTGGTTCTCAGTAGCTGGACTGTGTTTGGTAAACTGTGTAACTGGATTAAATTGCTGAAGCTTTTTATTCAAGAGCCGTAGTATTTGACTTTCTTTATCATTGTGTCCCTAGCTCCTAGCTCAGTGTTTAGCACAATAACTGTGTTGTGAATGAAGAAATGTTAGTCTAAGCAGGTCAAAGAATAATCCTGTGATTATTATACAAAGGTGGAAAACCAAAGGACAGCCATGCAGCATAATTTCTTATTTTGGAAATTTTCTGACTAAAGCTGAAAAGCGTAGGTCAACTTAGTAGTTGTCATCTTAGAATAGCCTCTTAAATACTTTCAAATGAAACATATAACCAAGAACAGATCAAGCATTATACATGATGGCTGTGGAATAATGGGCGCCCTAAAGAAGGAAAGGAAATCTTCTTGACTAGAAGTATCTACAGAAAGTGAGGCTTTCAGGACACAGTCCAATATGTGTAGCAGAAACAACACAACAAAAAGAAAAGTAGAGAGAAGCAAAAAGAAAAGGGCAGCAGAGAATCATGCTGAGGACAGGTGGACTTAAAATAGTGCCAGAGACTCTTAGCACCATGTCCTGACTGTACAGAAGAGGCAAGTAAATGATGAAGAGAGAGGAGAGAGAGCTCTGAAGTCCCAGGCCAGCCCCGGAACCTAACAGTGTAGTCTTTGACGTCAGTGGGCACCACTCTCTTCTGTGTTTTGGGGGCCATGCGGAATTGTGGCAGACATGGTTAAGGGCGAGAGTGAAATCAGCAGCCTTCCATTCTGGATCTGTAGTTCTTAGAAGACGTCTTTGTGCCACCCTGAAAATGTAACTTATAATTTGCTCCGCAGATTTTATGTCTGTATGTGTGTGCTTGTGTGTATAATTTGTATGTGGAAGGAGGGCAACTAGGAGATGGGGAAAGTGTATTATTTCTGTGTATCATAGTAATAAGTTTAGAGTAATGCCCTGAGACATTATCATGTAATTGAATTATGGTTGATATAGTGTGCTTTTAAAAGGCAGTGATTATTGTTCAGAATGCATTAAAACATGTATTTCGGCATAGAAAAGATGAATCCAATCATAGGACACTTGATTATTCAAAATAATTCCATCCTTGAGAATTCCATGTGCCTACATTTTATTTTACTTGTAGAGGACGGGCAGTGGAGAAGAATAAACTTAAACTAGTAATGTCTTCTAAAATTTTAATTATTATCCGCTACAAAGTTGCAATAATAAGAAGATTTTTTTGAGCTCCAAGAATTCTCTGTGATAAAAATATTAATAAACATTTGTAGTTTTTTTGTTGTCATGTTATGTTCTATAGTATCTGTAATCTAAAGAATATTTTTAAAAATTCAAATCTTTTTTATACGATTAGGTTATTTAAATGTTGTACAGGTTCTGGTTTATTGGTTTCTGGTCAAGAAAACTGGCCACCTAAATTCAGACAACAGTGCTAAGGCACAGTCAGCCAGCATATACATTTAAATAAGTAAAGTAAAAATATAAAGGTGGCCTGTGTGTTTATGTATGTCCACACAAATAGTTGTATAATTATTTATTTACAATTATTTACTTATAACTGGATTTTTCTGTTTAAAATCAGACTCATTTCATTTTCACATTTTACAATTCTTCTTTGAGTTATTTTGATGTGAAGCCTATGTTTTTGGTGACAGTTGCCTGGCAGCATGGCTGGGGCTGTATTTGAAGTGGTCGGTGTCAAGCAACAGAGGTGACTGCGGAGACCTGGCGGGTTGCTGGTGTCTGGGCTTCCATAACAGTCCTGGCGTGGATTTCTTTTCCTGCATGGACTAATGCTGCTTTTGCCTCTCTTTTTTTTTTTCTTTTGTTTTGTTTTGTTTTTGCGGTACGCGGGCCTCTCACTGTTGTGGCCTCACCCGTTGTGGAGCACAGGCTCCGGACGCGCAGGCCCAGCGGCCATGGCTCACGGGCCTAGCTGCTCCGTGGCATGTGGGATCTTCCCGGACCGGGGCACAAACCCGTATCCCCTGCATCGGCAGGCGGACTCTCAACCACTGCGCCACCAGGGAAGCCCTGCTTCTCTTTTATTCGCTTTGTCCTGTTCTCCAAATCACGTGCATCCATTTTCCCTTCCAAGCTGGAACCTGGCTCAGTGACCAAATGGGTTTATGTAGTTATTTTGCTTCTATGATGATAAAGCTCGCATTTTGAGTTCTATAAATTCACTTTTTCTCTCTTTATTATTGTTTCTTATGAAATCACTTGATTTTTTTTTGGTGTGCTTTATAATATTTTAATGTAACATGTCTTCAGTCTGGTTCCATTTTTCTTTCTTTTTTTTTTTTTAAACATCTTTATTGGGGTATAATTGCTTTACAATGGTGTGTTAGTTTCTGCTTTATAACTAAGTGAATCAGTTATACATATGTTCCCATATCTCTTCCCTCTTGCGTCTCCCTCCCTCCCACCCTCCCTATCCCACCCCTCCAGGTGGTCACAAAGCACCGAGCCGATATCCCTGTG